CACCCACAACGCGGTTCCCCGTCCCCGCGCATCCCGCACCCGCAACGCGGTTCCCCTCTCCCCGCGCACCCGGACCTACAACGCGGTTCCCCGTCCCCGCGGACCCCGCGCCAACGACGCGGTTCCCCCTTCCCCGCGCATCCCGCACCCCGCGGTTAGGTCAGCTGAGCGAGCGGCTTTCCGCGGCTTCCCCCTCCCCGCGGACCCCGCATCGGATCGTGAACGTTCTGAGCGGTTTCCCCCTCCCCGCAGCTTCCCCCTCCCCGCGGCTTCCCCCGCGGACCCCCCTCCCCGCGGACCCCCCGCGGACCCCCCTGCCCCTCACCCCCCCTCGGAGCTCCCTAGTTAGAACCCGCCTTATACATCTACTACGTCCTTGATAATGATGCAGACGCCTGACTCACCGACACCACACCTGTTATTTCTAATAATATGACATCCTTTGAGATTAAACTTAAAAGTTGGATTTAGCAAAATTTCCTGTAAACAAATAATGTCGAAAATACTAATTAGTCGCTGAATTTCCTGAATTTTATTTTTGAGTCCCCGACAATTTTAAGATAAGACTTGAAGGAATCGGGAGGAGTTCCTTCTTGAGGCGGGACGAGGGGGATGTCGAGGAGCAGGTGTGGTTAGGGAAGGAAAGGATGGAGGGAGGGGGAGGGGGGAAAGACTGAAGGAGAAAGGGGGAGAGCTAGGGGGATGGCAGGAGAAGGGGGAAGGGAAATTAGGGATAGTAGGCCGGTCCCTCCATGGTGGGATGGCCTCTTGGAGAAGGAGGATAGAAAAAAGAATCCGGATTCTGGTACACATTACTTGCCCCGAATAACTCAAGAACTTCAGCGACCTTACTTAAGATGGGAGAAATATTTCTGACCAGGTAAAGAATCTGGCGTATCAGCGCCGTCATGTCCGGAGCGCCTCCCGCCGTGAAAGCTCTCAGCAAATCTATAATGGATTCTAAGCCCGACCTGGGGGGAAGATGCCCCTGCGAGGAGTGATCTCTACTTGACAGATCTTCCATAGGGGAGTGCTGAAAACCGACCCCGTTAGGGGAGGCTGAGGGTAGACGACCATTAAGCGCCACTACAAATTCTGATCGATCATATCCGGCAGATTGAGTAGGTGTGTTCGAAGAACGCGCCGAAAGCGAGCGCATGTGCTTAACGGCAGAAGATTGGGAAGCAAGCCGGTGTTGCAAGCGCTGGGGGGGGGGGTGAGGAGAAGTATTGGACGTAGCCTGAGCGTAAGATCTACGCAACTCCAGAAGGGAGTCATAAACATAAACATCATTATCGTTTAAGGCATCAAACCTGTTAGGGTGTGTGAAGGTACTTTTGGGAGATAAGGACAGTGAGGGGAAGTTAGCGAACTTCTTCCCTGGAAGTTCCCAGGGAGGAAAAGTTATTTTTCTTCCTTGCCTCTATTAGGGGGATATTGTGGGTGGCTGCTGGGGTGAGAATATTTTTGTGTTTGATTAGGAGAGGACAGGAGGGATCATTCGAGAGGTGCTCATCTGAGCAGTTAATACATTTCGGCGTGCTGCTTTCCTTTGGGCAGATTGAATCCTCAGCGTGCAATGGTCCCCCGCAGTGCAAGCACCTCGCAGGGCTCCGGCATATAACGTTAGAATGGCCCGCTCTGTAGCAGTTTGTGCAGTATCGGGTTTTCGGGATGTAAGGTCGCACTACGTGCCTTGCCCAGAAGAGAGTGACATGAGAGGGCAGAGAGTGTCCTGCAAATTTAATACATATTGTACGAGATGGTACGTACTGCGTATTGCCGTTAACGGTAATCCTATTAAGTCTTTGAATTTTGACTATCTTATGCTTAGTATTAAGCGATTTTCTTATATTCTCCAAACTAAAATCTTGCGGAACGTCTCTAATGACGCCCGTGCGTAGAACACGATAATTTAGGATAATGGCCTTACAATTGATTGAGGCAAGCATGGAATTTGAAACTAAATTGTTTGCAGCTGTTGCAGATTTGCATTCGACTATGATCTTACCTAGCTCCAGTTTCCTCATTTCAATAATGTTAGCAGCTGGCATAATACGACCGACTTGCGCAAACATGCGCATCAAGTGAAGGTGGCCGTTGTTGTTGTTAATGTTGCTATTGCTGAGTGCGTGCACATGCACCAAATATGGCGCCTAGTCTTGGTTCGTGTAGTTGTTTGTCTTTCCCTCTAATTTCCGTGCCTTGAGGTTTTCCGGGCCCAAATGAGACCAACGCGCGCTCGAGGGCACGTGGGCAGAGGGCAATGATGCCGCCGAGACCGATAGTGCAGAGGTATGGTCGCTACCTTCTTCGAGAACAGAGTGAGATCTTTTGTTGTTACCTTTGTCGTTGTTTTTGACCGAGATCAGAGGGGGTGAACCTTGAGTGTTCATTTCCGTGGCCGTGGCATCCTCTGCGTTGTCGTTATTATCTTCGTTGATTTGCGAGCACGGTTGTGCGTAGCCCTTCTGCTGTGTTGAGGTTATGTCGTTCATGGCCTTATCCGGATGCACAGGTATGTGCAAGGGTGCTCGTAGTTACACTCTTGTTGTACTCTCTGAGAAGTTTCCGGGGCTGACGCAATCTCGCTGGGGATTTGCACACTCACGGATATCAAGGAGGATGAGGATTGTGTGTAATTTGAAGCTGGGGAGAGGGGCGAAGAAGATGCGAATCATGCTTATGGCTTTGAGACAAAGCTATTTGCCCCTCAAATTGTGAATAGCGGTCTAAAAGGACCGAAAAAGTCTGTTGCGAAGCGGGAAGGACAGGAACGTTTCCGCCCCCCCCCCTCCCCGATATCGCCCAAGGCCGTAGCCTCGTACATTTCTTGGTGCACGGTGGATACTAACACGGTGGGATGGAAAAGATTCGCGCACAAAAGATATCGCCCCGGGTGAACACCCGGGGGCACGCACCGGGGATAAACCGCAAAAAACGCGTCGAACAAGCGATAACTTGATAGCCCGCGAATAACACTTCTACACTGTACCGAGCGCCACGCGCGAATCCTGAATATTTATTCGTATCAGAGAGGATCCGAGAGCAGACCATGGAATTTACAGTACATGGAAGGGGAATGAGGA